TGAGAAATGATTTGGTATGTTCTAAGTTTCTAATTAAGTTTATTTTATTTTATATTTTAAAATGACTCAATTATGTTTATTTTATTTAAATAAATTTTTAATATATTATTCTAATTATTTTTTCCAATCAAACCATCTAAAAAATCATATAACCAAAACATAATTTTTTTTTTGTTTTACGAAAATACTCCTCTGAGCATAACATGCTAAGTCTCTAGTATGTTATTATATATAACAGTGTTAAGTTTTTAATTATTTTGAATCTAAAACAATAACTTGCATGAGTATTTTGTACGGTTGACAATGAGTCAATGATCATAAATTTAAATAATAATAAAAGAACACTTTGTTATCATTGTTCGTTGTTCAAGATTATGAGTGTCTCAATATCATTTCATAATTATAACAGTAAATGACTGACATTATTAGTTTATAATGTCATTATTTGGCATTATATAATGGAGTTATATATATATATATATATATATATATATATATATATATATATATATTCAAAGTTCTACCTTTTGCTAGACAGTGACCTGTGTGAATATTTAAAATCAAAGACTAGAAGAATTGTAGGTTTTAATTGAATAAATTATAAATTAATTTTTTTAGTTTGGAAAAAAAAAACATTGAATCCTTATTGTTTAAAAAACCAATTATTTAGTAGTATGTTCCCTATTTTTTTTTCTAATTTGTTTTCTTTTTATTTAAAAATAAAAAAATAAAAAATAAATTTATATCTTGAAAAGATTGATGAAAAAAACGTTTTGTGAAATAAAATAATATACTATTAAACATGGTCAATACTGATCAAAAGATTAAGTAATTAATTTTTATAACAAAATGGACTAATTAATTCATTTATCAAAATTAGAGAGATTAATGTGCAATTTACTCTGTAATATTCAACTAAATTTCAGGTTGCGAAATTCAAAGGCATGCATGAATGCAAGGTTTAATTGAGTAAATTATAAATTAGTCCATTTAGTTTAAAAAATTAAATTAGTTAATCTCTTTATTTCAAAAACTAATTATTTAGTTTTTTTTTCTATTTATGTTATTTTCTGATTTTTTTTATAAATAGAAAAAATAAACCAATTTATATTATGAAAAATTGATGAAAAAAAAACATTTTGTGGAATAAAATATATTACATTAAATATAGTCATTACTGATTAAAAAATTAAAAAATTATTTTTTTTAAAAAAAGGAACTAATTGATTCATTTATTAAAACTAGAGGGACTAATGTATAATTTACTCATTATCATTCAAATAAGTTTCATCTTGTGTTTGGTTTGCACCAACTTCAAAGGCCTGCTGCAGGAATGCAGGCTTTAATTGAGTAAATTATAAATTAGTCCTTTTGTAAAAATCAATTCATTGGTCCTTCTTGTTTCAGAAATCATATTTAGTCTTTTTTTTTGTCCATTTTATGTTACTGTTTAATTTGTTATCCTTTTTAAAAAAATAATAATAAAAAAAATAATAAATTAATATCATGAAAAAATTGATGAAAAATAAAAACATTTTGTTGAATAAAATAATATTACACTAAACATGGTCAACACCGATCAAAAGATTAAATAATTAGTTTACGAATTATTCTTTATGTAATATTAATCTATTAGAAGTGTTATTAATTTTTTTGTTTTAATAAATTCAATTATTGTTGTATGATATTAAATTATTAGAAATGTTATTAATTATTTACTAGTATGCTTAATTAGTAAAAATGTTCAAAATATGTGAATTGGAATACATTTATTAACAATTGTAATATATTCACAACAAGTTGTCGTGACCATTATTTTACTTCGTGATAAGTCATGATTTGTTTTTTTCAATCTGGAACCGTGATTTAAAAGTATATCAATGATATACTTTTATGGTTTTTAAATATTGTGATTAAATAAAATATAATCAAATAATTTGGTCACTTGATAATTTTTAAATTCAAGTACCCTGCATGAAATTTCAACAAATTTCATTATAAAAGAATGCTATTAATTTACTAATTCAATCTCTTGATATTAATTTTCACCAACTTTCATTTTTAAACAAATAATTACAAGAGAATAAATAACAATTATTTAGATTATAATTATGCATTTTTTAAATCCAATTAATGACATTTATGTCATTTAGTCATTTTCGCACGTGATTCATATGTTTTCTTTTAAAGAAATGATTTAATATATTAGTAAATATTATATCAATGTGTTCAATCTTATAGATAAATGAATTACTATAATCACAATAATACAATAGACTGTTTTAACATGAAAAATAAGTTGAATGACAATTTCTTGAATACTTATATTCTAAGATATATATCAATTATTTTTATATATTTTTAAATAATTTAAAAAATCACTATACTGCAACTAGTTATTAGCAAAATTTACAATTGTATGTATTTGTTCTTAATTAAAGAGATAGACATATTGAAAACTCAATCCCCTGTATAAGGTCACGTAGAAAACTTAACATGTTAAGTTGAAAGGAGCATTTTCGTATAAAAAAAAATATCATGTGCTAGTAATGTGACATTTTGAGGTGGTTTAGCCAGAAAAAATTGATTAAAAACTTGCTTAAATAAACATAATTGGCTTAATTTAAAATATAAAAATATATTAAAAACTCATTCCGTTATGTAAGAACAGGCAAGTGCATTTCCTCCATCGAGTAATCTATTTCTCTAATCAATATATATATATATATATATATATATATATATATATATAGCTTCATCAAGGCATGGAGCATAACGCAATACACCTTCAGAAAACAAGGAGATTGGCTACTGGTAAATTCATGGCAACATTGTTTCTCTATTTTCCTGTATTTTTAGCATTGTATATGATAACAAAACACGTCCTTGACAAGATCCAAAACCTCCCTCCTAGTCCATTCCCTTCACTACCGATCATTGGTCATCTCTACCTCCTTAAGATGCCAATTTACAGTACCCTATCCAAAATCTCCAATCAGCATGGTCCCGTAGTCTTGCTCCAGCTCGGATCCCGTCGAGTCCTTGTTGTCTCATCCCCTTCAATAGCTGAAGAATGCTTTACCAAAAACGATATTGTCTTTGCTAACCGCCCTCGTCTACTCATTGCAAAACACCTTGGTTACAACTATACAAACCTTTTCTGGGCATCCTATGGTGACCACTGGCGAAACCTTAGAAAGATCGTGTCTATTGAAGTCTTATCTACATACCGCCTCCAGATGCTCTCTGCCATACATCTGGAGGAGGTAAAATGGATGATTTGCAGGCTCTTTCATAATCAGAACCAGATGGTGGATATGGAGAAAGCTTTCCTCGAACTGACTCTGAACATCATTATGCGGATGATAGCTGGAAAGAGATATTATGGAGACAATGTTTCTGATGTGGAAGAAGCACAAAGGTTTCGTGCAATTCATGTTGAGATGTATACGCTAATTAGCCAAACCATTATTGGAGACTACGTACTATGGATTGAATCCAAAAAGATGGAGAAGAGATTGATAGAGTGCCAAATGAAAAGGGATAGTTTCATGCAGTGTTTGATTGAAGAACAAAGGAGAGCTTTGGAGAGTGAATGTTGTGATGAAAGGAAAAGGACAATGATTCAGGTTCTGCTTTCATTGCAAGAAATCGAACCTGAGTATTACTCGGACGATATTATCAAAGGGCTTATGCTGGTAAGATCTTTAATCGTTTTGCTCAGTTAACAGATTATCAAAGAGTAATTAGACCTTAATTCAAAATTGTCTCTCATCTTCATTACTGTTTTATATTCGGAACCTTTGAATTTGAACTTGAAATGTGGCAGCGGTGTGAATTGTGATGAAATGTTTATCTTCTTTAACTCGTTATTTTTTAATGGGAATCATTGAAATTAAAATGAAAGTGGAATGTGATAAAGGAAAACAAAGTGTCAACATTGAGCAACTTTTTTAACACCAAACATTTTAAAGGTAATGAAATCTTGCTGGACTTGTGTTATATTTACTAAAAATTCAAGTAACTATACTAAAGTCGTAATAATTTCGCAGCCAATATGCATTGGATTGCGTAAAAAATTGATAGATCACTTGATGGAAATTTGGTTTGTGTGGTTTTTGTTAACTTTCCAACCAATACTACTGATTATCACAATATTTTTCTTTTGGTGTGTAGGTGCTCCTATTTGCAGGAACAGACACTTCATCTAACACAATGGAATGGGCACTCTCGCTTTTGCTCAACCATACGGACGTCCTCAAAAAGGCTCAAAAAGAAATCGACGAACACATCGGCCATGATCGTCTAATCGATGAAGCGGATCTTGCCCAACTTCCTTACCTCCGCAGCATCATAAATGAAACATTAAGGATGTACCCACCAGCTCCACTGCTAGTACCTCATGAATCATCAGCAGAATGCCTGGTTGGAGGTTTCCGCGTTCCACGTGGCACTATGCTATTTGTGAATATGTGGGCCATACAAAACGACCCTGAAATCTGGGAGGACCCAAGAAAATTCAAGCCGGAGAGGTTTGAGGGCCTAGAAGGGCCAAGAGATGGGTTTAAGTCGATGCCTTTTGGGCATGGCAGGAGGAGCTGTCCTGGAGAAGGCTTGGCCTTGAGAGTAGTGGGATTAGCATTGGGCTCGCTGATTCAGTGTTTTGAGTGGGAGAGAATCGGTGATAAATTGGTGGATATGACAGAGGGGCCTGGGTTCACCATGTCTAAGACCCAGCCATTGAAAGCTATATGTCGGCCACGCTCAAGCATGCTCGAACTTCTTTCTCAATTATGAACCATACACTCTGCCATGACTCCTGTTTGGCATGACGATGCGACTCTAGCCACAGGCTTGCTTCGTGAATGGGCATGTCATCTGGCATGCATGATTCATGCTATTAGACTTATTTATGATGGCACCAAGCAATAGTACGGTCACCCCTGTCGGATGTCTGCACCTCTCCATTCCACAACGGAATTTCCTGGTTATATTTAAAAATGAGTCTGCCATCTCAAGGAGAGGATTCTAAAGAAATCGAAAAGGACGAGGAATCAAACCGTCTATTACCATGGTCATTCTCATTACAATCCCAACCTCTAACCTTACAAAACGAAGAGGATTCCGATGAAGTAGCATTTGAAGCGCGAGAGAAAATCGTGATCGTTGATGTGGAAGGAGCAGACTCAATCGACGCCGTTGATTATGTCCCATCATTCTCATGGAAAAAACTTTGGTTATTTGCAGGACCTGGATTCTTAATGAGCATAGCGTTTTTGGATCCAGGGAATTTAGAAGGGGATCTTCAGGCAGGGGCGATTGCAGGGTACTCGTTGTTGTGGCTCTTAATGTTGACAACAATCACGGGGTTGTTGATCCAGATGTTGTCAGCTCGTGTTGGAGTCACGACAGGGCGGCACTTGGCGGAGTTGTGTAGAGAGGAGTATTCGAATTGGGCAAAGTATATTTTGTGGTTTATGGCAGAGGTGACGCTAATCGGTGCTGATATACAGGAGGTTATTGGGAGTGCTATTGCTATTCAGATTTTGAGTAATGGGTTTTTGCCTCTTTGGGCTGGAGTTTTAATTACCACATTGGATACGTATGTTCTGTATTTTGATGTTTTTATGGCTTGTGATTTGTGGTTTTCTTTGGATTATTTGTGGAGCTTCTTTGAATCTTGTTCTAGATGCTATTACGATTTTGACAGGTTTTATTGAATTTGGCTTGAAATGAGGGTTAACATTGATAGAGTGATGTTTCACATATTTGGATCGAGTTTTATGATGGATCAGATTTTCTTGTCTAGTTGGGCATTAAGTTGAAGTTGCTCTTCTTTTTTTTAATCATGTGTTTCTTTTTGGAGAATTTTTTTGGACTCTTTTTGGTGGTTCTGGAATATTGTAGTTTATATTTGCACTTGGATTTAGTTCATGCAGAGTTGTTATGTGACGAAACCCTGGAAGTGAATGATTTGTTTTATTAACTGGGGTTTTTTTGTTTTTTAAATGTGGACAGTTTCATGTTTTTATTTCTAGAGAACTATGGAGTAAGGAAGTTAGAATGTCTTTTTGCGGTTCTAATTGCGACAATGGCTTTATCATTTTCCTGGATGTTTGGAGAAACTAAGCCAAGTGGAAAAGAACTTTTAAAGGGTAAGAGATTTTAATTGGTAGAGGAAGTGAAGGCTCTGCATCTTCAGTGACTGCACCCATCGTTGTGGTTGATTATGATCCTTGCTGCAGGTGTTTTAATTCCAAGACTTAGTTCAAAGGCAATTCGGCAAGCTGTTGGTGTGGTGGGTTGTGTCATAACGCCACATAATGTGTTCTTACATTCTGCTTTGGTGCAGTCCAGAAAGATCGATCCTCAGAAGAAAGGCCGGGTTCAAGAGGCATTGAATTACTATTTAATTGAGTCCTCAGTCGCTGTTTTTCTCAGTTTTATGATTAATTTGTTCGTGACAACCGTGTTCGCTAAGGGATTTTACGGTACCAAACAAGCCAGTAGCATAGGACTAATTAATGCAGGGAAGTATTTCGAGGAGAAATACGGTGGAGGAGTCTTTCCAATTCTTTATATGTGGGGTATTGGCTTGTTGGCTGCTGGACAAAGCAGTACAATAACTGGCACCTATGCCGGGCAATTTATCATGGGAGGTTTTCTCAACCTCCGTTTGAAGAAATGGCTGAGGGCGTTGATAACGCGGAGTTTTGCTATTGTGCCAACTATTATTGTTGCTATCATATTCAACACATCTGAAGCTTCATTGGATATTTTGAATGAGTGGCTGAATGTGATCCAGTCAATGCAGATTCCTTTCGCACTCATCCCCCTTCTTACTTTGGTAGCCAAGGAGCAGATCATGGGGGTCTTTAAAATCGGGCCTATTCTTGAGGTAAACTGTTGACTCACTTTTCTGGTACTTTTTGTGTTGTTCGTGCTGTCATATGTATTTCATTGGCAACTCTCATGGTTGAAAGAGAATCTCATGTTCCATGTTCTTCACGTCAGGTTACAGAGGTCTTAGTTCCTAGAAATCGGTTACTTCGATACCATTTTCACAACATATTTGTAGTTTGATTTGCGCAATATATTGCCAAGGGATTCCAGTTGCACAAAAGTGAAGTCCTTTTATACAGTGATAGAGAAGGAAAAAAACGACAAGAAGATCTATTTGTCTAGAGTCTATGCATAAATTTACGCCATATATTAAACTGATTTGTCTTATTTTTTCCTCTCACTTGTTATGTAGTTCCAGCTTTTAGATGGTGAGCCATAACAAATCTAGATTGCTCTTACTGGTGGTTTTATATGCATATATATTTGAAGAAAATGAGTTCAATCATCTACTATATTAGATGATCCTGAAATGATATGAACTTTTGATGCTGATTGTTTTCGGGATAATTGCTGTATAGGTATATTAATTTTTAATTTTTTTTAATAGAATACATGGCCTTTAATATTTTTTATTTGAGTAAATCAATTTTTTTAAAACTATCAATTAATTATTTTTGTCAATTTTTTCATTAGCTGATGATATATTGTTAGCCCTAGAATGCCAATTACAATTTTGCCTTCTTTTTTTGTCTTTTTCAATTGAATGCATGATTTTTTTTTTATTTTTTTCATTTGAGCGTATTGATTTTTTTCAAAATTGTGAGTTAAATATCTCCATCAATTTCTTCCTTAACTGATCAAGTGTCCATTGCCTTTACAATATCAAATTATAATTTTTCTCTTTTTTTTTCTGTTAAAGAAAACTTTTCTTTCAAATTATTTTATAATTTCAAAATTTGAGAGCGAATTAAAAAAATATTATTTTTAGCAATAAAATCCTGAACTAAACTCGGGTTTGTTGTAATTATTAAAAAAAAAAAATCAATTAAGTTTAGGTGTGAAAGTTGAAAGCAAATAAAAAATGTGGGATTTTTCATAAAAAAATATTCATTGCTTGTGAGAATTTTGGAGAAAAGTTCTCTCAATAAAAAAGAAGATAAAATTATAATTTGGTATTTTAGAAGTAAGAGACATGTTATCGATTAATAGAGGAATTGATGAAAGTATTTGATTAGTAATTTTGAAAAAATCAATGTACTCGGACATAAAAAATTAAAGTATATGTACTCGTTTGAGAAAAAGAGAGTAAAATTATCATTTGATATAATAAGGGTAATAGAAACGTCGTCAATTAATAGATAAATTGATAGAGGCACTTCATTGATAGTTTTAAAAAAAATTATATACTTAAAATAAAAAAATTAAAGTTTATATATTAGATTGAAAAAAAAGAGTAAAATTATCATTTGACATTGCGAGAATAATAAACATGTTAGTAGTTAATGAAAAAATTAACAAAAGTATTTAATTGATAGTTTTGGAAAGATCATTGTATTTAAACAAAAAAATAAAATAAAATTCGTGAATTTGAAGAACAAAAAGTTAAAAGTCGGTGTAATTCTTCCACTCTCCTTTTCATCTGTATCTAATATTCTGTTAATTTATGTTGTAGAGGCTGGCGTGGACTGTGGTTGTCCTGGTTATGCTGATCAATGGTTATCTTTTGATTGATTTTTTTGTATCTGAAGTTAAGGGCTTGCTCCTTGGCTTTCTAATCGGAAGCGGCATGGTTGCATATGTGGCATTTATCATTTATCTTGTTTCTCGTTGTGGTACAAGCTCTTCTGGTTGGCTCAGCTTAGAACCTTCCAATAAGATTACTTCCAGTGGAAATTGAGTTATGCAGTTTTCATAAATCTAAGATTAATGAGTCATTCAAAGCTTATCATGCCATTGTAAGAAATATGACCTAATGTTATGGTTCATATGTTTTTTCTAAACCCATATTAAGTTGGTTTAGGGTTTTCTTAATTTAATAGTATGTTAAATCTGTATCATTAATTTAGTATTTGATAGATGTACAAGATTTAATGTTAACATGTATATAAACTAGTCATCTTTCTACTCTAAAAAGGTATGTAGACAATATATATATATATATATAGAACATACGTATTTTTGGCTATCCATCAAGCCACCTATTACGGAAAAGAGGGTTAAGGGAGAGAAACTAATTTATAAGGTTTGCCATTGTAAGAAATATGACTTGATGTTATGGCTTATATTTTTTTGTAAGCCCATATTAAGTTGGTTTAGGGTTTTCTTAATTTAATAGTATGTTAAATCTGGATCGTTAATTTAGTATTTGATAAACGTACAAGATTTAATGTTAACAAGTATATAAACTAGTCATCTCTCTATCCTAAAAAGGTATGCAGAAAAAAAAATATATATATATATATATAACGTACGTATTTTTGGTTATCCATCAAGCCACCTACTGCGAAAAAAGGGTTAATAGAGAGAAACTAATTTATAAGGTTTGTGACTCGTTGAAAGCTCTCTCTACATTATGTTGAATTTCGCTCAAGGGAAGTAATTTATTCGCTTCATCTATGTGATTATTATTATATTCGAGATCTTGAATTGGAATGAATGATTTATGTCTTGATCATTACATGTTATGATTTATGTTTTAATTTTTATGAATGAAGTTTACATGTGGTATCGAGCCTATGTTTTGAATAGATAAAAATCCTTAGATTATTGATTTGATGTTAAAAAAAAAAAGGGATTAAGCTACTGCCGCTGCCAACAATTGGCAGCATCAAATCATTGAAAGTGGTAGAACACTGTGTCAATGTTTTGAAAAAAAAAATTAGGGTAGCATAGATTAGTCACTCAAGACGCGACTGGCCGCACGCTTAAGAGGCCCGCACAGCAGGCCACCCAGTCGCGCATTGCGAGACTGGCCTTGCGCAAGGCCTGCAGCAGCAGGCCATGCGGGGCCAAGAAAAAAAATTAAAAAATAAATAATAAATAAATATTATTTTTCTGTTTTATGCATATATGACAGTATAATTAAAAATTGATTTGTTAGTCACCAAAGTGGCCAAATTAATTTTCAATATGTGGTCATATAATTTATGTATTTTTCTATTTTATGCATATATGACGAGTATGATTAAAAATTGATTTGTTAGTAACTAAAGTCGCCAAATTAATTTTGAATGTGTAGTCATATAATTTATGTATTTTATGAAATGCTATTAAAAATAGAAATTTATTAGTTGATAGAAATTAAGGACTTTACCCAAATGTAAATCAATGTTCTATAACTAATAAATATAAAGGAGAAAATTGATATACTCTTGCCTATATATATATATATATATATATATATAGTTATCGAAAGATGTTGTATGTGTTTTGGCAAATGTTTATTTAATTTCTTATAAAGTTTAAATGGCATTTTAATAATAGTTATGATATATATTGTTATGTTTACCTTAAAAAACCTCGCAATATATTTAATGTATGTGCTTCCTATCCGAATTTATTAATTAGTAAGCGTTTATATGTTTACGACTATTAGCCTTCACTCTTAAGCATCTTCCGGTACCTTGTTTACCGGTGTGAATTTCTCCGAACGGAGCAAACAAGCCACCTTCCATTTAGGTGCCTTGGATCTTGACTTGGCGCTATTAGAGGATAAGTCTCGTCGACCTTAATGATACTAGTATAGAGGCTGAAAAGGCATACCATAAGGCGTGGACAAGGTCTAACGGGTTATGTTTGAATTTTATGCGAATGTCGATTACCAACAACTTTAAGTCTACTCTTCCTAGCACTCGAAAATTAGAATGCTAAAGTTTCACGACATTAAGCTTGTGGAATAAAAGTTTCATTCTATTAATAAGGCACTCGCAGGGACACTTATGGCCGAACTCACGACCATGAAGTTTGATGGGTCAAAGAGTATGCGACAACATGTCCTTGATATGACTAACATTGCAGCAAGACTTAAGACACTCGGGCATGACTGTGGAAGACTTCTTCTTAGTGTAGTTTATCATGAACTCACTTCTTATCGAATATGGACCGTTCCATATCAATTATAACACATTAAAGGATAAGTGGAATATTGATGAACTGTCCAAGTAAGGTTATTCAAGAGGAAGCGAGATTAAAGAAACAAGGAGTTCATTCCATTAACCTAGTGGGTCAAGGAGCTGGAAAGAGATTCAAACCAAAGTCCAAGAATTTTAAAAGAAAGAACTCGCAAAAGTTTTACAGAGTTGTCGATGATGGAAGGAAGGGACAAAAGTTAGATAAATGTCATTTCGCAAGAAAGAAGGACATTATCGAAGGATCACCCAAAACGTAAGGCTTGGTTAGAAAAGAAAGGTATACATTATGTTTCGTATGCTTTGAATCAAACTTATATGAAGTTCCTTTTAATACTTGGTAGTTTGATTCTGGTGCAACTACTCATGTTTCTAATATTATGCGGGGATTTCTTATAATCCAAACCATAAGCCCAACTAGCAACTTTCTCGTTTATAGGAAACCGAATAAAAGCCCCAATTGAAGGTGTAAGGACTTACAGTCGGCATTAGATACTTGGACATCACTTGGATTTAATGAACACTCTCTATGTACCTTCAATTTCTAGAAATTTAGTTTCGTTTCTAGACTTGATGCTAGTGGTTATACTTTTAAGGTTGGACATGGTTGTTTCAATTTATATAAGAATAATTGCTTTATTGGTTATACAATGCTTATGGATGGTTTATATAAATTGAAATTTGATGTTGGTTTTTCCGAATCCCTATTTATTGCTAATTATAATGTTGGAATGAAACGTAGTTTAACGAATGAACTTTCTCGCTTACTTATGACATATACGTTTGGGTCATATATCCAAAAAAAGGTTAGAAAGATTGATAAAGAATGAGATTCTATCGAATCTAGATTTTATCGATCTTGGCTTATGTATGGAATGCATTAAGGGCAAGCAAACCAAACATAGGAAGAAAGGAGCCACGAAGCGATCACCTTCGAAAATAATACACATCAATATTTATGGACCTTTTAACACTCCGTCTTTTAATGGAAAAAAATACTGCATCACCTTTATAGATGACTTTTCACGGTATGGATATATCTATTTGGTACATGAAAAATCTTAAGCTATAATGCCCTCGAGGTGTTTGCAAAAGAGGTTGAGAAGCAATTAGATAGAAAAGTAAAAATTATAAGATCCGATAGAGGTGGTGAGTATTATGAAAAGTATGATGAATTTGGATAGTGTCCTAGTCCATTTGCTAAGTTCCTCGAAAGTCATGGCATATGTGTATCGTATACCATGCCGGGCACATCGCAACAGAGTGGTGTAGCAGAAAGGCAAAATAGAACATTAATGGATATGGTTAGGAGTATGATAAGTAATTCCTCATTACCCAAAAGTTTATAGACGTATGCACTTAAAACTGCTATGTATCCGTTAAACAGGGTTCCTAGTAATGCAGTTCCTAAAACTCCTTTCTAGCTATGGACTGGAAGGAAACCTAGTTTAAGACACATGCATATTTGGGGTTGTCCAACGAAGTATGAATTTATAATCCATATGAAAGAAAATTGGATTCTCGAACGGTTAGTGGTTACTTTATTGGTTACCCAAAGAAATCCAAAGGTACAGGTTTTACTATCCGAACCATGGTTTTAGAGTTGTTGAAACAATCAATGCCAAATTTTTAGAGAATGGTGAGGTTAGTGAGAGTGCTGAAAAATAAGTTATAGATATTAATGAAATACGGGTTAATGTTCCATTAGCCATAAATGTTCTTAAATACACAACCATAAAAAATGTTGTTCCTATTTTGGAAGATCAAAATAATCAAGAACAATATTTAGATAACGAAGAAGCACCCAATGAAGAACCTAACTTACCACCAGCTCATGCAAATGAGCCAATTGGTATAGCTTTAAATAAACATGCAAGGGTTAGAAGGTCGACCTATTTCCTATAATTACGTGGTTTATTTGCAAGAGTCGATTTTCATTATGGTATTGACAATGATCCTGTTTCGTTTTCACAAGCCATAGGTAGTGATAATTCCGAAAGATGGATTGATGTTATGAAAGAAGAGTTGAAACCAATGGCTCAAAACAATGTCCGGGATCTTGTAGACTTGCCGGAAGGTTCTAAACGAGTTGGCTGCAAATGGGTTTTTAAAACCAAGCGTAACTCGAATGGAAATGTTAAAAGATATAAAGCTAGGCTTGTTGCCAAAGGTTACACTCGAAAGGTGGCATTGATTATAAAGAGACCTTTTCACCTGTCTCAAAGAAAGATTCATTGAGAATAATTTTAGCATTAGTGGCTCAATTTGATTTAGAGCTACATTAGATGGATGTCAAAACAGCTTTTTTGAATGAGGATATTGAGGAAGAAGTTTATATGGAATAACTCGAAGGTTTTTCCATTAAAGGTAAAGAAAATATAGTGTGTAAATTGAAGAAGTCAATATATGGACTTAAACAAGCTTCCAGGAAATGGTATATTAAGTTCAATAATACCATTACCTCTTTCGATTTTGAAAAAATCATTGTTGATCGATATATTTATCGAAAGATTAGTGGGAGTAAGTTTATATTTGTAATTTTGTATGTTGATGACATTTTGCTTGCTGCTAATGACTTGGGTTTGTTACATAAGACTAAAGAATTTCTTTCTAAGAGTTTTGAAATGAAAGATATGGGAGAGGCATTCTATATGATTGGAATTTCAATATTCCGTAAGAGACTAGAAAGTTTAATAGGATTGTCTCGGAAAGCTTATATTGAGAAAATTCTTGAGAGATTTAACATGAGCAAGTGCTCGGCGAGTGTAGTCCCTATTCAAAAGGGAGATAAATTTAGTCTTATGCAATGTTCAAAAAATGATGTGAAACGTAAAGAAATGAAAAAAATTCCATATGCTTCGTTGTGGGCGGTTTGATGTACCTATAAACTCGTACTAGACCCGACATCGGTATTGCGTATAGGGATGCTCGGGTAGATATCAAAGTAATCCCGGTATTGATCATTGGAAAGCTGCAAAGAAAGTGTTGAGATACCTTCAAGGAATAAAGGATTATATGCTCACTTACAAGAGGTCCGATCATTTAGAAGTGTTTAGATATTTAGATTTAGATTTTCCTAGGTGTATTGATAGTAGAAAGTCAACGTTTGGCTATTTATTCCTATTAACTGAAGGAGCAATCTCATGGAAAAGTGCAAAACAGTCTATCATTACTTCATCCACTATAGAAGCATAATTTGTAGGTCGTTATGAGGCTACAATTCATGCATTATGGCCGTGGAACTTTATTTTAGGGCTTGGGGTTGTCGACACGGTAAGCAAGTCGCTAAGAATTTATTGTGATAATCCCGCAACAGTTTTCTTCTCTAAAAATGATAAATACTCCGGAGATGCAAAACACATAGAATTAAAGTATTTCATTGTTAAAGAAGAGATTCAAAAACAAAGAGTGTATATATAACATATTAGGACGGATCTCATGGTTGCAAATCCTCTAACTAAGGGTTTACATCCAAAGACTTTCAAAGAACATGTGCTTAGGATGGGTCTTGGTTGTATCGATGATTGATGATGATGTTTGATGATGATGTTTTAACACTCTTGAGCTCAATAATGATATTTTTTTGAATTTTATATTTCTTATTCATTGTGTTTATGTATACATGATTGTTTGAATAAGAAATTTGTATGTATTTTCATAACAAGTATGTGGATCGTATGTTGTTTATATGCAACTTATGAAACTAACATAATAAGTTCTTAATGTAGTGGTATATGGAAGAGAGTATATGACTATACCGTGTATGACCACCATAACCCACATTATGTGATTTGTTGTGTTGATGTACTTATGATGTTAACGAGTTTATAAGATTTAATTTTGTTAGCCTTATGTTATACTATTAAATGTAATGATGAAACATCCGGTAAGTAGGAGAATGTAAGAAATATGGCCCGATGTTGTGAACCATATTTTTCCGTAAGCCCATATTAAGTTGGTTTAGGTTTTTCTTAATTTAATAGTACGTTAAATCTGGACCGTTAATTTAGTACTTAATGAAAATACAAGATTTAATGTTAACAAGTATATAAACTAGTCCTCTCTCTACTTTAAAAAGGTATGCATACAAAACATAAAAAAAAAATTATACGTAACGCATGTATTTTTTGCTATCCATCAAGCCACCTACTATAGAAAAGAGAATTAAGGGAGAGAAATTAATTTATAAGGTTCGTGATTGTTAAAAGCTATCTCTACATCATGTTGAATTCCGCTCAAGGTAAGTAATTTATTCGCTTCATCTATGTGATTATTATTATATTCAAAATTTTGAATAGACATAAATAATTTATGTCGTGATCATTGTATGATATGATTTATATTTTGATCTTTATGAATGAAGTTTACAGCCACATAATATGACACATTGAGATTCTTTCAAGAAGGGGAATGCAATTTTAGCTTCGAAATCGCTGACCTTGGTGCATGCATAAAGCAAGTGTACAAATTTCAAAACAATCAACGTAGCAGTTCTCTCAACAGTTTGGCACAAAGGAGCAGAACCTTTATTATATTTTTACTATCGACCACGTAAGGACATTCTTTTCTCTGTTTTGGTTGGTTGAAGAAGCACAATTTTAGCAAGAGGATAAGTTGCCTCCATGGAACCACTAAGCATCCCTTGTTTATCTCTACATAAATTTAGGATGAGCTTGTTGGTTTATTCTTTGATGTAATAATTTATCGAATACCATAGTCAACCTAGTCAGTTCCTCATTACAGCGCGAATGATTTTACATCCCAACTCCTGCACTCCTCTGGGAGAATCAAACAGGAGGCACGCTACCAACATGACGACACATCGATCCCACTACTGCACCTAGGGGCATATAGATTCATAGTTAATTAATTTGAAGCATTAAAATTATTTTGTTTTTTAATGTTTTTTATTTAGTCTACGCGAACCTTTACTGAGTAGGAGAAAGGAAGAAGGAAGGAAAACACGCTACCAACAAATTTTTGACTCTTGATGTTCATAACAAGTCAACAAGTTGGAAACGTAACGGGGAAAAAAGGAATGAAAATTGATTAGTTTGTTACAACTCCACTGCGGAGAAATTTCACGGAAGCTGCCGAGTCTTCAATGACGATCCTTTCATTTGACTTGACCATCTCGTCAGTTGCAATCAGAATTTCTCCACAAAATCGTAGCACGCCTAGCGTCACTATACCTTGCCAAAATTGGCAATAACTCTCGTTCTCTGTTCTTTCCTTCTGTGGTCACGCGTTCCCTTTCTTCCTGTTTCCAACTAATAATTTAAGTTACAATTGAATTCATGAGTCAATAGTCTTGGAAGGCCGGACCTTTTGGTTTCCATTTAGTCACTAGTCTTGGAACTATCTAAAAAAGTAGGTAAATGAAAAATAAAGATCTGCAACTCAAATATTAACTCTTTCAATTAAATTATTTGTCACCTTCCCAGACGGGTTTTCTTGGTAACTTGTTAATGCCATCCAACAACGAAAGATGCGAAGCTAGTTATGAAAGTTAAGAATTGAATAGCAGATCAGTTTATTCTCGATGAAAGATCATCACTTAAAGAAGTTTCTAACTCATTTACCATTCGCATCCTCCTTTGAAAGGTTTTGTCTTCTCCGATATATATATATATATAGCAGATCAGTTTATTCTCGATGAAAGATCATCACTTAAAGAAGTTTCTAACTCATTTACCATTCGCATCCTCCTTTGAAAGGTTTTGTCTTCTCCGATATATATATATATGTCCGAAAGTGCAACGATGAAAAAAATAATTGTTTGCAGAATTTTCCGGATTTATTTCTCAAAAAGTTAAAAAGAACAAATAATTCAGGATATTACGTCAATTGATATGAATTAGTTTGTGGTGGCATTGATGCGTTGAGGAATGAAAAAATTCAAAATTCTCGATATTGTGGCATGTTTTGTATAATGTACCGTAATAAAAAAATATAATAAAATAATTCATTGCATTCCTTGTTTGGTTATAATATTTATTTTAATAAGGTAACAGATCTTTGCATAAAGTTTCATCTTAGTCCTTATAATTAAAAAAAATGTTTAGTTTCTGGCTGGAAGTATTTCCAGTCCTTCTATTTTATGAAAAACACAGTTTAAGATGTACATTGAAAAAAAAATTGCAATCACGCTAATTTTTAATCATGTGATGGTTCATTATTTAGGTTGTTTTTTTTTTTAGAGTAATTTTCTTTTCCTTACAAGTTCGCATGCAATTTTGAAAATTACACAATCAAACATAAGAATGTAAGGAGCTATTACATTAAATGATCAATTGCATGAAACAAAACATGTTATTAGTAACTATTAATATTACATAAATAAATAAATAATGTAGCTTTAATTGTTCCTCCAGACCCATAAACACTGTACATTCTAATGTCCTCATTTTTTTTTCTTTTTTCATTCTTTTGCTAACGATCTTACCATCCGATCACGGTGTTAAATTCTCTCGGCCTTTGGATCTCCCATTTGTGATTTGCACAATTTATATATTTCGAGCTCATGCCTTTTTTAGTCCCTGCAAACGTCGCTTTTCATCCTCGAGTTTTTTGCATCTTCTTCTTTTATCATTCTGAGTCATTTCTTTCGTTAGTTCTTCTCTTTTCTTCTTATTCGTGTTAGGCTGCCATCGAGTGACTATGCTATTACCGTATCGCCCTCCTTTCATTAATTTTTCTCTATACTTTTACGCTTTTTTTCCGTAACTTCTCAAGTCTACTACGAGAGCCCTTTTCTTTCACCCTTATTTGTTACTTTATTTGCCTTAATTATATGTCATTAAATGCCTTTGTCATTATGATTTCGCCCTCCCCTTTTTTTTGGCTCTGTAATTACGTTTTCGTCCCTCCTTTTTTTTTCCCTCTTTGCACTTCCAAATCCTTTTCCGTGGCTTCATAAATCTATTATGTTGAGCATTTAAATCGGCAATTTTGCTTTGCCAGGCTAAGATTTAATGCTAAAAATTATTCCAAAATCATTGAGTCATGACAATTTAAAACTCATTATATCAATTCAACTAATTTGGATACTAAATTATTATTTTCTAAACAAATATTATCTTTTATCAATTATCTCTAGCGATCAAAATGTTGACCGTTAACTACAATATACATGATTTAATGAAAAAAAATTATCCCAAAACTATTGGGTTTGTTGCAAAATAAGGTCTATGCTTTTAATTAGATTATTTCAACTCCAAACTATTAATGTTTTGTAAATTTAATTCTTCTCAATTATTTATAATAGTTAAAGTATCAATCATTAACCAAAATGCTTAAAACGAAAACGATATCGTTTTAAGCATTTCAGATTTATTTTAGAATTAAAATTAATTTCAAAACAATAATAATAATTTTTTTTTTTTAACTTCATGGATCCGTTGCATGTCATTAATTGTCTAACAACAAAAGCAAAATCCATAAACAAAAAATTCATCTAAGGTGCTTTAAATCTAATTACTATTAAATATTTTTTTGAAATTAAATTAAATTCCAAAAAGATTCATTTTTTTCCTAGATGGATCCATTACGTATAATTAATTTTCCAACAACAAAAGTCAAATTCATAAACAACAAAATCATCCAAACTTCCTTAGAACTAACTATTATAAGAAAACATTGAAATTAATTTTAAAAAAGGAATGCTCGGGCAATAATAGAGAATGATAAATATGGCCAAAAACTAATAATTTAGAATTTAAATAGTCTAAATTGATAGTACAGATATTGAATTATCATAACCCAATAATTTGGTGATAATTTTTGTCATTGAACCATCAAATTGAGCTTTTTGATGGACCAACGCCTGAAATTAGATTAGAAAACCTACTAATATTTTTAATACCCTCTAATTTTTCTTTCGCTTCTTTGGTAAATAAATTATATTGATTGAGTTTCATTTTTTTCTTCTATACTTTACGATTTTTTTTAATAGAATGGTTATCGAAAACAAGAAAGAAAGGTATAGAAAGGAAATAAATGTCGTTTTGAGTTATTGTATGGTTAAATACAGATGAATTTGTTCCGACCTTAGTTGTTTTTTAATGCCTGGTACTTTTTACTGTCACAAATGGTTTCATCTTCCCCCCCCCCCTAAAGTCTTGCCAATACGGCCTTATTTGTTTTTGTTTTGGTTTTTTGCACTTTTGCTCTTTTTTTTCCCTCATCAATTTATTATAATTTTGATTATTATTGATCATTGTGAGAAAATTATGGATGATTGACCGTTATTATTGGGGTTTCTTAAACAATCTGACAATAAAGAAATATATATTTATGTTTTTATATCTTAAAATGATTTTATATTTCAAATTTTATTATTCTTATTATTTAAAACTTATTCCTCAAATTTGTGATTTCTTATGAAAATTCTCATCCAATTATTTTTTTTATCTTTTATTAAATTTTATCTACGGATATATGTGATCTTCTTCTTTTTTTATTATCTATGTATGAATTTTGAAATAAAATTTTAGAACATGATTATCTTGAAAATTATATATATATATATATATGGCCTAGAAACAAAGAAAATATTTAAGAAGGAAAAAAAATTCATATATTTTATTTGCTTCTTCTTTATATAATCAAAATTTATCAAAATCAATTTTGTCAAGTTTCTATTTGAGTCTATTAAGTTCAAATTTATTCAACATATTACTTACAAATTAACTATTTTTTTAATATTATTTGTTTTATATTGCAAATTCTAAACCCATTCAGCATAATTATTATGTAAAAATAAAAATAAATCTTTGGTTTTATTATAAATTAACTATGCAAAAAAAAAAAAAATGCAAGCCATTTATTGTTTATTTATTTTTAGATATTATGAAGTTAATTTCTTTCAAATTAAACAATTAAAATTATGTTTTTATGAAACCAACCAATTGTTCAAATATAGTTTTTTATTATAATATTGTTGATAATTCTATGAATAAATACATCAAAATTAAATGTACAAACTTTTAAAAACTTATCATCTCCTCAACATTAAATAAAAAATAAAAAATAATTTATTTATTTTTTTTATACAATTTTTTACGTCAATTTTTACTTTATTTTAATGACATAGTTTTATAAAAAATATTATAGCTCTTTTTTTATTTTGTATTATTTTTTTTAGACTATTACAAGTTCTTAGTTAAAAATTCATGGATAAAAAAAGACAAGTCATGTTTTTTGGGTACAAAAATTGTGAAAAAAACATGAGAAAAAAATAGTTAACCATAAAATTTTGATTAAAAAAATATAGAATTGGATGGATTTTTTATTTTTTATTTTTACATTTGATTTAATATCTTTTGGGGACCTATAATAAAACGTAGACCATTAAAGTTAAATAATTTTTAAAAATTATTTAACATGTTCTGTTCGATTCGCAATATAGTATGGGTAAAAAACTAGTTTATTTTAAATTAGAATGAAAGATTAAAAAAAATATCTCCTACGTGTGAGAGACGCCAAAAATTTATTAGTTGGTTAAACAATCACATGATCAAAATAATTCTCTTTATCGTCTGAATCCTATTCACTTGCATGTGTATTGATCACTAAGTAGAAAACTAGTATTAAAAATAATTTTACTTCTGATATTTGTCATCAAATAAATAATTAATTTAAGCAACAATGAACTCAAAATCCTTTAAAAATCAGGTTTATCTCTCTTTCCTATCCCATTCCGTGCGTGGAGAGTGATATTTTTTACTCTCCTTCGTAGTTTTTAACGAAACGGACCGTACTTATTGCATGCTCCTATCAAGAAGACGGTTACCAAAACATACGAGCAACAAGTGAGTTGTTGGCACCGATACGGATTGGTTTAGCAGTAACATATTTATTTACCTATACCTCATAAGGAGAACTCGGGTTCCGATCTTCGACGAGATAGCTCTTACACCCTATATTTCCATCCATAGAGATACCATAAGCTCTTCAAATATTTGTGTGTTTGCAGGATTAATCAGCCACCATTTTCCAACTTATTAATAATAATAATAAAAAAAATCAATAACCTGTCGGTCAAAGCTTTACTATATGGGTCCACCACCATCTTAATAATCGGTTAAATGCATCTCGTGTCTTTTTAGTACATTAAAAATATCGTTATAATTATTTTATCTATGTATAGTTATAACAAATTGTATATTATTAAACATTGATGCAAAACAATACTTTCATTTAATTTTTTTTATCAAATTGATTAATTTTTATTAGTTGACTAACATTTAACTAATTAAGTGACAATACACGTCAATTTAAAGTACAAATATAATTTTTTTAAAATCAGCTTTTTAAATTAAATAATTAATAATCATTATTAAATTATTAAAATTTGGAAAAAATTCTAAACAAAAAATTAATTATTTTTTTCACTTTTCAATGATTTTATAATAATTAATATTAAAGAAAATTCAAAAAAAAAGTGTAGAGATTTTTTTTAAAATTATTTTATAATAATTATTAATAAATAAGTTTTTTTTCAATTTTTAATATTTAAAATAATTATTAATAAAGAAAATCTAAAAATATCTTAATAATTTTTTTAATGATTATTAATTATTTTAATAAAAATTGATTATTAATTTTTTCAATTTTTTTAAATACTTTTCTTTAGATTTTTAAAATGATTTTATAATGATTATAAATTATTTTAATTAAAAAATTTTAATTATTAATTTTTTCAATTTTTTAAAAAAATTTTATATTTTTTTTAATTTTCTTTATTAGTAATTATTATAAAATCATATAAAATTTATTTATATTTATTTTTTTAATTATAATTATTATAAATTCATTAGAAATTAAAAAAAATTATGATTATTTTAAAAATTTTCTTTAGATTTTTTTTTAAATTTTAATAATTTTATAATAAGTATTAATCATTTTAAGTTTAAAAAAAATTGAAAAAACCTGATTTTAAAATAAAATTATATATTTTTTCTTAATTTGATATGAGTCACCATTTCACTAGTTAGACATTAGCTAATCGGACAAAATAAGTTAGCGATGAGTAATTTTACATTCATATCTAACAATATAAAATTTGTTATGAAGTATATGAATACTCTGTAGATAAACAGTGTATTTGACCCCGCAAGCATGGATCCAGAGTAGGCCATAAAACGAAAAGCACCAGAAACAACCTTAATAATAATAATAATAATAGTAAAAATAATAAAAATAAAAGAGGTACACATGAGAGGACAGGAAAGAAAAGACCGCTGCTTTGTTCCCCTATGGGACACCCACGGGGCCACAAGAACTACAGAAGAAACACGTACGCAGCATAAACACTAAAAAAAATAAAAAATAAAGAGGGCCCAACCTCTCTGGTTTGGTTTCCTTGCATGAATTCTTACCAAAAACGCATGCAAAATTGCCTCGCACTTGCACTCTCACTCTCCATCTATAAACTCTGTCAGTCAACTATATTTCCAATTATATTAACGCCAATAAAATCTCTCCATAACATCTTCTTCTCCAATTAAATCACCGATTTTCTCTCCTTTTAAACCCCAGCCCCTCCCTATAATACCCCCAAAACCCTCAAAACTTCAATCTAACCGCATAACCCTCCCAAACCCAAACCCAATACAAACCTTTCTGTGCCCCTCTCTCTCTCCTTCGCCCCTTTGTTCTGAAATAATATGGACCGTCACCACCAACAACAGCGCCGCAGATTTCTTGCTGTAACGGCGCCGTTTTCCTCCGAGACTCCCATTTCCTGTTCAATGGATCAAACCCCTAGTAGTCCTAAAACTTCTGCACAAGACCCTTACCAAGAAACTCTTGAATCTGCCTTTTCAAGACTAAATGTATCTCATGATACCCAAAATTTATATCCAGGTTCTTATGGCGATCTCTTTGATGGGTCTGTTGTAAATTTTAACATTTCTGATGATTTTGTATCTAGTGGCCATGGCCAGGCTGGTTTTTTGCAAACGCAAAACAATGATATAAATGCTTTTGGGGCCACGACGGTTGAAGATTTTGTTCATAATCCAGTCATGGACGGTTCTAATTCTGATTGGACTACTACTTTTGTTTATGGTGGCGCGTATCAAAATCCAAACTTTAATGACGACCGGAGAGGATTAATGCAAAGAGAATCGAATTATGGGTCTATCAATAATGGTTTGGTGTCTAAAAACCGGAATTCTGGGATCAGGGGGCCACTTTGGTTACGAGATTGCTTGTCCTGGGAGGATTTGAGTGGTAAGATTGTGGAATTGGCTAAGGATCAATTCGGATGTAAATTCTTGCAAAGGCTTATTGAGAGTGCAACAAGAGAACAAATTGACATGTTGTTTTACGAGATGATAAACTATGTGGGTGGGTTGATAGTGGACCCATTTGGGAATTATCTTGTACAAAAGCTTGTAGAGGTGGTTAGTGAGGAACAGAGGACTTGGATTTTGCGAATGTTAACTCGAACTGACTTTCAACTTGTGAGGATTTGTCTTGATGTGCATGGGTATGCACAAATATTTGGCTAGCTGTTTTTTTATTCATTTCAGTTTTTTTTTTTTTTTAATGCAAATTGAAATTGTGGGTTGTGTTTTTAGCTTAAAGAAACTGAACATACAGCGCTCAAGTTTGTTTCATTTTGCTAATTGATTTATTGTTTCTTTTGGCAATAGAACTCGGGCTGTACAGAAGTTGTTGAATTGTATTACAAACCCGCAGCAAGTTTCTATGGTTGTATCAGCTCTAAGCCAAGGTGCTGTTGCATTAATTAAGGATTCCAATGGTCATCATGTGATCCAGCATTCTGTGAAGTATTTTTCTACTGAAGACAATAAGGTGATCTTTTAATTCATTGACCAAAAAAAAAAAACTAAATTTCCAAAATCTGATAGAGAATAATCTGTGTTCTTATTTCTTGTGACATGCTGCTATTTGTGTTGGTAGATTATTTGCTCCCGAACTTCCCTTCAACGTGGTGATTTTTTATTCTTTTTTCTCTGTCAAGTGATTTTCTTTGTGGATCAAGTTCTTTTTTTATTCTTATCTCTGTCTTTTAACAATTCACTTTTTTTGTCTGTTGAGTTTGACTTTATTGATAATTGGTGGGTGACAACCATATTCTAGTTTTTCCCATCTACCTGAACATTCTTAAAGGTACAATCACTACTGCAATATTCTTGTTTCTGTATATGCATTTATGCTATCACCTAAAATCCTGAATATCTAACAGTTTCCAGTGGAATCTTTCATCTTTTATGGGAGAGGAAAAAGGCTGCAATTTTTTCTCCCACTGTATAACTTAGTCTCTTTCCTTGATGAAGAATAACTGGCAACTTCTCTGTGGGTTATTGTAGTCTTCCATAGCTTTGGCATTCGATGAATGCTGGTTTTACTCATTATTCAGCTGGGTGGGATCTGTGATTGCTCTATGGCTTCTGTTCTGATTGTTTCTGATTTTTTGTGCACCGTTTCTTTTAAAAATCACCATCGGTGCATTAGAGTTTCAAATCAATTTAAGGAAGCCAAATTTTTGAATGTCGATGTAGATAGGAATTGCTTAATTTACAAGTTCAAATTCTCGTGATTGAGTTGTTGTGAACATCTGATGTGAGCTATTGTGAACACAGTACCACAGGTTTTTGAAGTGAGATGATTGGCTGTTTTAGGTGATGATATAGCTGGCTTAGGTTTGAAAATATCAGCACACGGTTTCTTGAGTCAAATTTGAAGAAGCGAAGTTTGATCTTTAACAATGGACATTTTGAGCAAAAATTTCAGAAATTTCAAAAAAAGTCATAAAATGCAACCTTATTTTCAGATAGCTTGTATTGATTTTCTCCCATCTTTATTTATTTGTTTATTCCGTGCTCTCTTCATTCCTTGGAATATCGAACTTCAACATGCTACGAGTACAATGCTTTGTTTTGGATTTGAATTTGTTTGACTTTGCAAGTTTCCACTTCCTCCTTTCTACAAAGCTCTTATTTAGGTTCAATGTGAAACTTTTTTCTGTGCCCAACCATTGGTGTGCTAGAATTCAAACCCTTATGCAGAATTTTCTCAAGTCATTAAGAATTCTAGATGTTCCAAATGATAAGATTAAGTTTGCCTATAAATATGGCTTTTATCTTTGTAATGTATACATGAAAATTAAAAGAATAAGAGAGAACAAGAGTGCAGTAGTTTATATACTAACAACAGCTAGAAAAAGAGAAATAGAATTAATCTACTAAAAGAAGATATTTTATGTGAAGTTTTGTCTTGTAATCAATATATATCAATATGTTGTTGTTTGAGTATTATTTTGTGAGCCTATTAGGCTTTCAACAAGTGGAATTAGAGCAGAACATTCATTTAGATGCTCTAGTTTTCATAATTCATCTTTATTAATTTCGGAGTTTGAGGCTTAATCATATGGGCCATCTCCTCACTTGATACGTAGACACGAATCAAGCTATGATATCACTTGTTGGAAGCGTAATAGACTCACAAAATAAACCTCAAACAACAATATTCAATGGACGTGGTCAAAGGAGTAATTTTTAATTAATTCTAGACGTTCCAAATGAGGAGGTTAAGTTTGCCTATAAACATGACCTTTATGTTTGTAATGTATGTATGAAAATAAGAGAGAGTAAGAATGCAGTATTGATAGACTAGCAACAGTTAAGAAAAAAGAAATGGAATCAATCTATTGAGAGAATGTATTTTGTGTGAAGTTTTTTCCTATAATCAATATATAACAATATATTATTGTTTGAGTTTTATTTTGTGAGCCTATTACACTTTCAACATGGCGTGCAATTTTAGGGGAGGATTTAGCTAGAAACATTACATCTCAATCACCTGAATTACTGGGTAAAGTTTGGGAACTCCAACATGCTTGCGAAAACTTTTGGTAATTTGAAGGCTTTAATAATGGAAATATTACTTGATCTGGCCACCGTTGTTATTGCAGCTTTCTAAAATCTTTTAATTTGCATCTGTAGTGTTTCTTTTATACTAAATGTCGGTTGCCTTATGTTTCTCATTTCTTCCTTTCTTACATTCTTTTCATTGTTTTCCTCACTTCCTTGTCACTTTCTTTTATAATGCATTCTATCTCAATTTAGTTGCATAATACAGGACTTGCAAATGATGTGAAATAGGGAAATAAAGGTCCTTCATCACAAAAACTGCTTTTGAGATGACATGATTACAGAATTTTTTTTTCTCAACCACTTATAAATACTCTTTATTGATGCACTTGTTATATTCAAAAGGTTAGGACTTGCTGCTTTTTTGCAATAAAAATAAGGCCTGAAACCGAATCTCCATGAGTATCTATCTGATGGTGGATTATTTTTGCCAGTATATTCTGAAACAGGTGGCAGAGCACTGCTTTGGGATTGCAACCAACAAGAGCGGATGCTGTGTGCTGCAGCGATGTGTTGAATACTCTGAGGGTGAACCCAGAGATCGACTGGTGGCTGAGATAATAGCAAATGCTCTACTCCTGGCAGAAGATCATTATGGGTTTGTTTTACTAAACCTCATCAATGCTTTACTTCATATGCAAGTGTAATATTACTTAATATAGTTCTTCTAATTCTCCTTTTTTTCCCTCTAGAAATTATGTAGTGCAACATATTCTTGAATTAAAGACTCCACAGATCACAGAAAATCTCCTCGCACAGTTTGAAGGGAGTTACATGGCTCTTGCATGTAATAAGTATGGAAGTAATGTTGTGGAAAGGTGCCTGTCCACAACGAGAGAGGACCAATCCACACAAATTATCATGGAGTTGCTAAGCAATCCAAGTGCTTCCATGCTCCTTGTGGATCCTTTTGGAAACTTTGTTATCCAGAAGGCACTATCAGTATCTCAGGTTAGATCATTTGCAGTCCAAGATATATATATATATATAGATACTTGCCTGTTTGTTGGGTAACTGCAAAAACCAGATGTAATGCACTGATAGCAGCAACCCTTTATTGTTAGACATATCTAATTGTGATTATCAGTATTGAGTTGTTTCTATATGCCTTTTCCTGTTCTTTAATTAAACTTTATAGTGCCACTTCGAAATTATTGACAATCTGGAATTCCAAAACTCAAAACAGCTTGAATTGGTCTGACTATATGTTAATCGGTTGTCGACATAAAAGGAGGCATATTTCCACGTGAGGAATTGAGTCCTTTGCATCTTTTATTTTCTCAGAAATTTTGTGTACTGTTCTTTGTTATGTGGCGTGTATTACTGAACTCAAAATTGATTTTGGACTTGCATTTCTAGGAATTCCATTTTGACAAAATGATTTGTAGTTAATATGTAGGCTTTTAATTTAATGGTCGTTAGATTAAGTGGGAGTTTTATGAAATACATTCCATCAAAGCAAAGACCCACATGGCTTTTTGAAAAACCTTCACCAAGCTTGCCAAGACTCTCTCCCAAACAAGTGTATTTGCTACTACCTACTTCGTGCATGTGTTTGCTACTATCTACTTCATGCATGACTTGTATAGGTTTTTGTAGTTTTTCTTTCATTGTATCCATGTGTAGTTTAAGCTAAAAATCAAACAGGCTTTGATCATTTGTTGTCCTCTTCTCATTTTTTGCAAGAGCAGGGACAAGTCCAAAGAGGTTTACTTGCTCTGATAGAACGGAATGCTCAAATGATGCGCAGCAATATCTATGGGCAAAAGGTGCTTGTTTGGTTGGCCAGGAATAGGAGGCTGCTATACACACCTGTAGGCATGTATAAACTGAGGGAGTAATGCTAATCGGGTATTGGGCATGCTTATTTATTTATTTTATAGTTTTACCTCATGTTACTGTTGTTGTTTAGTTAATCTCGTAATTGCCGCTTCAACATAGAGAATGGCTGTGCGGGTGTCTTGTTGTTCGCTGTTATTTAGGTTGTTACCTGTTTTTTTGGTACCTACTGTTGTAGCATTGGAACAAAGGAGTTTGGACGTTGTGGTCGCTCCGCAACTGGGTAGGAACTAGCCAATTTGAGTTGCCTACAACAATCTGGAAGGAATTAGAAAGTTAAACTGTGTATTTTGAGATTATCCTACTGTTTTACTAGTTGCATATTTAAAATCCCCTATTATTTCATTCGCTAAAGGGTATTTGATTAGTTCATGGTGTTTCGGACTTAGGAAGTTGATGTCTTTGAAGTGCAGTTTGTTTTTTATTTGATGTGAGGTAAATTTCATTTGCAATATTTCATGTTTTCGTGATGGCGTGCTATTTGCAAACTGTCACTTTGAAAACGAATAAAATAAAAATTAACTTCGCCCAACGTTAATTCTTAGGGCGGAATGTCCCCATTCCTGAGCCAGAATGCTCAACAAAAAATCGACAATTATTGTGACGAGAGCCCATCAACTGAAATTCGCAGACAAAACCGATATCACCAATTGGGAATCCACTTCAACGTGGAGATGTCGAGCTCCCAAATCCCAAGCTAATTCTAATCTGTTGGGGTTAGTTAAATGCTGCTTAGTTTCGGTTCTTCCTTGTATGTGGTCTCCCCCGAAAGAAATTGTTTAGCACCCCCATCCTGGCTGCATGTGATGGGTCTATAATTCTATATTCCAGATGAATAGACCCATCGCGAGAGAATGGCAAAGAGCGAGCGGAAGAGATCGCTTTCATTTTCCTAGGACGACCTTTCCTATGCTAACTGGGGGTTTTTTGACGGGAGACTTGGGGTCTATCTCAAATTCCTGTCAGACCATGTATAACATCTGCACATTTTTTGGAGGGATTACTATTAAACTTGTGTTTAGAAGGAGAATTAAAAACCTTCCTCAATGAAGTATATATGATGAAATATTACCATGGATGAAAACAAGGATAGCACAATTAGAATTCAAACTCTTTAACCAAGCAAAAAGCACCTTTCAGATAAAAGATGGTTTATGACGTGGAAATAATGTTTCTCGTGTAAACAAGTATGAGATCATTTATTTATCTTTTCAACTTAGAGACAAACAAAAGCAGGATTTGATTAGGGGATACTGATCCATTGTCAAGCTGGTTAGCCCAAAACATGTAATTGGCTTAAATTAATATTTTTTGAACCCACTTGTTTCAAACGCTTAGTTTTGATTCCAATAGATTTTTTTTATGCAGCGTCATTTGTTTGGAAACATTAAGTGCACTTGATTTTACAATAGCACATTATTATTTAATCTCTGTTTTTTTTATGAGATAATTAGATAATAAAAATGTATTTCATGGAATGAGAGTTCTCTTTATTTTTCGCTCTTCCAACTTTAGAGTTTTCTGATATGTATTTGAGAAGTCCTTAATCTATTCTATGGGTACTACCAGCGGGCTGACATGTTATATTTGATTGTAATTTCGGTTTTTTGTTGGTTTTTCATCATAATTAAAATATTTTTTGTCTGAAATATCTTTTATTTATAATAAAAAATCATTTTTATATAATACATGCATATTAAAATTACATTTAAAAGAAGTAATCTGTAAATTAAAAAAAAAAAAAAGAAGTCAATTTTGATTAGGGAACAAATTATGATTTTTAAAAATAGAGAGACTAACTTACAAAATCATCAAAAACATAGAGACTAAATTATAATTTACTTATTTTAAAATGAGTGTAATAAGGCTATATAAGACTTTAGAATTTTTACATCTAAAAGTATTTTGTAAATAAAACTTTCTTTTTGTTGGTTTCTCTCATGATTAAACTGATTTTTTTGCCTAAAAAATTCTTTATTTGTAATAAAAAATTTCAATTTATCTATTAGAGATCAAATTAAAAGTGCAGTTAAAGAATAATTTGAAAGGTTAAAAGAAAAATTAATAGTCAACTTCGAGAGGCTAACTTATGATTTTAAATAATAGAGTGACTAACTGACAAGATCATTAAAAACACGACGGCTAAGTTATAACTTACTAATTTTAAAATGTGTGTATTAAGGCTACGTAATAGTTTACAATTGTTACATGTTTTGTAAATGCAAGCTAAAAAATAAAGACGACAGGTAATTAAGAGGTTTTTGGAATTCTTGGTTTTAGAGTTGTAAACAATCAATTATGTAAATATTAGATATCCATTTAACAGGGTAGCAATTCAAGAATATGAGTAGGAATTTTTAGACTTGCCAAGCATCTTTATTTTAAAGGATAATGATAAAAAAATCAATTTTTCAAAAAAAAAAAAATGTTTTTGTCGAGTTAAGTTAATCTGATTAATTACCAAGAAAAAATTATTAAGAATGTATGATTCTTCAACTCCCAGTTTATTCTATGCTCTCTCTTATATATACCTTGTATTTCTTTTTTCCAGTTTTTTTTAAAAAAAAACAGAGAGGCAAACAAAACAATGACTTCATCTCTGTCTGTCTTTATGAAACGAAGATCATATTTGAATTCAAACGTCTTTTATTTTGATAAATTTCATTGCCACGTCTTTTATTTTAATAAATCTCATTGTTTCCTATTTTTATCTTTATCTGATGTATGTTTAAGTTCTGTTATTAATTACACTTTATATCGTTGGATAGTTGTTATTTACTTGGTAAGTTAGTAATATTAGATAAATTAATTTAAAAAATTATAGAAAGTGATGGAGAATTTATCGTTACAAGAGTGTTTTTTTTCCTATGACGTCCGTTAATTTTTTTTTATTATTATTATTTTGTATTGAATTATATGCACTTTACTTCTATTTTTGTAAAAAAAAAAAAATGAAATAACCAATGCCTCATAATTGATGGTGGCAATCAAAGAATATTTGATTATCCTGTCAACAAAAACCAAAAACAAAAGGCAAAATCGAAAAACCAAAGGAAGACTACTAATCGCTGATTATTCCGTCTACTGGACGATTTCTTGTTCAACTGCGATGTGGCTATTGTTAATTGGTAAGTTACATTTCCGTCAAATCGCAAATCATAAACAAGTAGAAGTCAATAGTTTTCCATTTCTTTTTCGAGAAGAGAGAGGAGAAGACTATTACTTGTATCTCTGCTCTCCCCTTCTCCAACCCCGTCGACTCTCATGGCTACCTCCTCCTCCTCTCTTATGATCTCCTTAATTCTATTAAATCTCTTAGCCGTCGTTTCCTCAACTCCCGATTCCAATAATCGCCACCGTCCCATGATAATTCCTCTCCACCTCTCAACCCCTAACATCTCTGCTCACCGGATGCCCTTCGACGGCGAGTATAGCCGGCGGCACCTCCAGAATTCCGATCTCCCTACCGCTCGCATGCGCCTCTTCGACGATCTACTCTCTAACGGGTACACACACTGTATTTTTTTTGTATTATTTTTTAATTGAATTGCGTTATTGATGTTTTATTTTTTTTCCAGTTATTATACAACGCGGCTGTTTATTGGGACACCTCCGCAAGAATTTGCTCTTATTGTGGATACAGGCAGTACTGTGACATATGTTCCGTGCTCTGGCTGTGAAAAATGCGGCAAGCATCAGGTTTGGCTTTGTTATCCTGCTTTTTAAGCTTCGACTCGATCGAAACTTCATCGTGTACTCGTTGATCATAACTTTTGTTGGTGTACAGTTTACCAGTTTACATGTCGATCGATTGGTGCAATGTTCTTTCCTTTTTAAATGAAAGCACCGTTTTAATAATAGTGCTTAATTTGAAACTGGGATTTAAAATCTTAAAATCGAATCAATCGCTGTGGTTTGAGAGCTGGTTTATTTGTTGTTTTATAGGATCCGAGGTTTCAACCGGAATTGTCTAGTACTTATCAACCTGTAAAATGCAACCCAAGTTGTAATTGTGATGATGCGGCAAAGCAGTGTACTTACGAGAGAAGGTATGCAGAGATGAGCTCGAGCAGTGGTGTGATTGCTGAGGATGTTATTTCTTTTGGAAATGAAAGTGAGCTTAAACCGCAGCGTGCTGCTTTCGGTTGTGAAAATGTGGAAACCGGTGATCTTTACAGCCAACGTGCTGATGGGATAATGGGTTTGGGTCGTGGTCGGCTCAGTATTTTCGATCAACTTGTTGGCAAGGATGTTATTAGTGATTCGTTTTCGTTGTGTTATGGTGGGATGGACGTGGGTGGGGGTGCGATGGTGCTTGGTGCGATTTCTCCTCCCCATGGCATGGTTTTTTCCCATTCTGACCCTTATCGCAGGTAGGATACTTTGTCAAGGTGGTGATCGTTGCTTAATTTTTGTTGGTATTCATTTTAGTACATCTCACACATTTACTGTAGTGTTTGGATGACGACAGTCCATATTACAATATTGAGCTGAAGGAACTACAAGTAGCTGGGAAGCCATTGAAATTAAAACCAAAAGTCTTTGATGGAAAGCATGGAACAGTTTTGGACAGTGGAACTACTTATGCTTACTTTCCAGAAGCAGCTTTTCATGCCTTAAAAGATGCTGTAAGATATCACTGCTCTCAGTTCAATTTCTTTTACCATGGGTTGGAAAGTTGAGTTATAGCTCTGCTGTGACTTTTTAAAGTCCGTCTTCCTGCTTACCAGCTTTTCTTTCTATTATAACTGTTGATGTTACTGTTCATCATACCAAATGAAGTTTCACCTGTCTATATTCTACAGTCTTACTGTAGGTTAGGTGAAATATTCTTTTGGATGCTAGGGAGGTTATTTTCGTAAGTCCTTTCCAGTTAGGAGAGGGTTTATCTTGTTAACTAGATTTGGAATCCATGTTTAATATTCTTGTTAATCAACTTTAGTTGAGTACTTATTTTGGAACTTCCTTGCAATTGCCAATTGATTTTATAGCAAATTCCATATATTAAGTCTACAAAGGATAAGGTTAACAATTTGAACGATGCCTATCAATGTTGAGAATCAATCTCCATCCAATAAGATTCGGTTTTTGATGAACTTGGCTGGCTCTATGTAGGCTAAATGCAGCTGATTGCATAAGTTGTGTGTTAAGTGTGAGATTATTTCTTTCGGCTTAATTTCTTACTCTATTATTTATTCCCAAAACCTGTTTACTGCAGTTCTTATATCTTGTGCTTTGGTTGTAATTTTTCCAATGTTTTGCTAATGTTTGGTGTAAAGGTTGGTTTACTTTTTTATTATTATTCAGCTACGCGAGAATATGTTGCTGAACTTGACTGTTAATTCAAGGTTAACTTTTTACTGAAATGCAGATTACGAAGGAAATCCATCATCTCAAGCAGATCCCAGGCCCTGATCCAAATTACCATGATATTTGCTTTTCTGGTGCTGGAAGGTGTTACTTATAATAAGAACACAATCTTAATGGCTAGCATCATTTTCTTTATAACTTGTCCTGGCTTTAAGATCTGCTGAGTGCTTATTTTATTCTTGTTCGTTTCTTTTTGGTTTAATTGTGATTTAGGGAAGTCTCCCATCTGTCAAAAATTTTTCCAGAAGTCAACATGGTGTTTGGCAATGATCAAAAGTTGTCACTGTCTCCAGAGAATTATCTCTTTCGGGTAAATTTGTCTTTTGTTGTACTTCTTAAATTTCTTGTTGGAACAAAATAAGCCTTGTGACTCTAGCAAAGTTACTTCAGTATGGCTCAGGACTTCTCCTTCTGTTTCTTTTCTTTTTTCCTACATTATCTGCTCTATTGTTGATGGAGAACAGGATATTAGTAGAGATATAAAGAATTAGAATTCCCTAGGAGGACAGAAAAATAGTGCAGAGAAGAAAGAAGTCCCTATAGGCTATATGAGAGGGATCCCATACAGAGAAGAGAGCAAAAGTCCAATAATGTGGTTCAATTCAATTATCAATAAGACTGCATAAAGCGCTCTTAAATAGGCACCAAAACCCTAATAACAACCTTTAAAAGAAGGAAAGTTAATAACTTTAATCAAGAGAAGAATCCCAACCAACTAATTGGTTCTCCATCAATTGTAGTTTCGATTTATTTCTTTTATTTATGCAGTAATATATTGCTTATCCCTCTCTTTTTTGTCTCTTTTTTCTTTCCTCTCTTATTTGTTTCTCTCCTTCCTTTCCTCATGGCATGGGTTAAAAAGCACACAAAGGTCAGCGGTGCATATTGTCTGGGAATTTTCCAGAATGGAAATGATCCAACTACTCTTTTAGGAGGTATAGTACATCATGCAGCATGCATGTCTTTGAAATTGACAGTTAACAGAGTTGAATCCAATAGTTCACAATCAATAATATGCAGAAACACTTGACAAAACTCTCTTACCTTTTGTCATTTGTGGCAGGAATTGTTGTCCGTAACACACTAGTGACTTACGATCGAGAGAATGATAAGATTGGCTTCTGGAAAACTAATTGTTCTGAACTATGGAAGAGGTTGCAAGTTCCCAGTGTGCCTGCTTCAGCACCTGTATTTTCCCCTAGCGGTAATAGAAGTCAAGAAATGCCTCCTGTGCAAGCTCCAAGCAGAATGCCACATTTCCATCCAGGTCCTTTGATTTAATCATTTACATGGCCTCATGTCGAGCTTGAAATTCAAATACGCAGCTGTAAATTGTTAGCTTGTAAATTGTTGTAGAATAAATATGAACAACTGGGTTCTTTACTACTTAATTTCGTGGAGGTGCTTAAGCTGAAAAATGACGGTGAGATGGGATTTTTTTTTTTTTTTCTCCTTGAGATGTTAATGAAGTGAACAAAAATCAAAACTGGGATAGGTATTTTTAGTAGAAGAATCTCGAAAACAACTCCAGGGCCTCCTGAAACAGTTTGATTGGGTGGGAGTATATGACAGAGTAGCTTCAAAAGTCTACATGACAGTAAAAAAGTAGATTGCAGCAGCTTAGTGATTTTGCATCAGTAGTTGGCAGTTGCATGCATATTAGTAGAATTGGGGTTTATTTTGTGCTTGATTTTTTTGCATTTTTTTTCTAATATCAATTTTTAATTTAATAAAATCAATTTATTTCAAGATTTTTATTTGGAATATCTAATGATCTGTTTATTTATTCTTAAAGTATTTTTGTATTTATAATTTATGTTTATCACAATCACAACAATCGTAAATGTGGTGTGATCAAGACTATTCATTTGAGTCAACTAACAGAGTTAATCAACCATCCACTCTATTGTTAACAGAGACAGGTGAAAGGTTTAATCGTTACGCACCAAACTGTAGTAGAGGACCAAAAACTAAATGTAGAAGGGCACCCAGTGATTTTGAGCCAATTGTTAACTTTTATTGTTTTCATTCATTTAATGCTTATTTTCAGGTGCCCTAAATATTTAACTATATGGTTGTGATGATTGTCTTTTTCCAAACATTCTCTTGGTGTATGTTTGAACTATAAAATCTCTCTGATGATGTTGCATTGCTCCCTGTGATATTTAGGTGAAATTCGAATTGGTATTATATCGTTTGATATGTTGATTAGTGTCAACAACTCACACACAAAGCCCAACTTTACCGAAGTGGCAGAGTTCATTGCCCATGAGTTGGAAGTCGATAATTTACAGGTATGATTGATTTACTTTGGCTTGGCATAGCCTTCTCCAAACCTTGCTGCAGAGCAACAGGTTTTTAACCTTATGAGTTGGGTTTATAGCTTATTAATTGTTATCATTCAAATTAATATAACATAGCAGATCAATATAGTCAATGACATTTGGTGCTTTTAGTTTGTGGCATGCAACAATATCTCGAATATTATTCAACATTAGCTAATTGAGACTAAACATAAATTTTATCTGACACTCGTGCAATTGCTTGATTTTCAGGTTCACATGTTGAATTTCACCTCGAAAGGAAATAATTATCTTGTTAAATGGGCCATCCTTCCTGCTGACTCTGCTGATTACATTTCCAATACCACAGCAATGGTAATCGTACCATCGTGTTCTTGTAGTGTTGCATATGCAACTGGGTCCTTTCCCAGTTACTGATTTAAGTGGGTCCTTTCCCAAGTACTGATTTAAGTGTCACAACTAATACTTGTTTACTGTGTGCAGAAAATAATACTACAGTTAAGTGAGCATCGATTGCACTTTCCTGAGAGATTTGGAAGCTATAAGTTGGTCGAATGGAAGATTGAGCCCCAAAAGAAGAGGTATTTGTTTTCTTCCCCGCTCTGAACTCCATTACTAGGTTTCATATCTGTTTCCAATTTCACATTTCTTTAACCATCTCAAACAGTGCTGTATATTGTGTTTTTGCCGGTTCTTGAGTCTGTGTCCTTGTTTTGTTTCTATCTGTAATACTAGGGTATCTGCTTTCTTCTGGCCTTCTTCCAAACTGTAATACATCTTGCAGCATTCACATTTGATTCTTTCGGGGTGTTGTAGGACATGGTGGCAGCAACATTTTCTGGTAGTAGCTGCTGGAGTTGTTGTAACCCTGGTCATTAGTTTGTTAAGTGTTGGTCTATGGTTGGTCTGGAGACGTAGACAGCAAAAAGCAGTTGGAATGTATGAACCTGTTGGCGCCGTTGTTCCGGAGCAAGAACTTCAGCCTTTGTGATTTGAGTGCACGAGGATGATAATAAACATCTTCAATACTATTCAATCAGTGGTGACAATTATGCGGTTATAAAATTTGATTTCCCTCTTTACAATGATGAATAGAATTGAAAGGGGGGAATATATAGAAGAGACAAGAAGCTTTTTTTTTTTTTTTTTTTGTAAGAGGCTAGACTTATTGTTTAGAATGTCATGCTTATACGTTTCATATGTACACAACAGGGATAACTGGTAAGACATTGACTTGATAAAGGCAAAATGTGGTACTGTTTTTCCTTTAAATGCATCAATTCGTACTTCTTGGCTCTTGCCCTTGCGTCGTTCCATCCAGGGTATGCTACCATATGATGCGAGAGTGCATTTAGGCGACCTCCCAGGCCTCAACCCCGAATCTCTCTCTCTCTCTCTCTCGCAATCTAGGCAAATGAGTGGGCAAAGGCCCAACGGCATTAACTCAAATAAGCATAAAAGCCCCAGCCCAGACCTAAAACAGAAACTGAGAATTCTACCCGAGGGAAATGCTGGTGGGCCGGAGGAGCAACCTTATGTTGAGTGGGCTTGCAGCCGAAAGCTGCTTTTGAGAAGGAGGCTCATGGAGCAGCAAGCAAAGCAAACAACCTTGTGCTGGGCCCCAGTCTACATTATGGGCATCTCTTCATGTTTTCAGCCTTCGCAAGCTTTTTTGGATTTTATTTTTTTCTCCTTTAAACAGGAATGAAGTTTCATTAATCATTAGCAAACGTTAAAGAGTCAATGAATGTAGAGAAACGATCAAATTCTTGAAACCATTTAATCTAAAAGATACTAAAACCGAACTTTGGCTATAAATGGCCATGTTGATCGAAGTCTTGCTTTTCGGATAGCTGTCTCCAGAGCCATCCATTTTCTGGCTGTCGTAGGAAAGCAAGTTTTAACATAGCCTTGGTTTAAATCCATCCACGCAGAAATATCATGGTATTTTTGGGTTGTGCTTAATAAAACTTCCTATCTAATGTACATATCAAAACTGAAATGGTGCAAGTCGCCATTACTGAGATTAGAGTCCTATAGTCCATGCATGTTCAATTTCAAGTGCAAAAAGGAAAGGGTCCGTGTAATGACTAGGAATTAGTTATTTCAGGGGGTTTGAGAGTTCGAGGAAAGGAAACCATTTTCATTTAATGTAATTTTTTAAGAAAAGGTGTGAATCTCTGAGGATAGTTGCGGATTCGTTTTTCTTTCATTAAAGAACTTTGATAACATCATTGAAACTTAATCTTTGCAAAGCCACAACTTTCAGCAGCTCCATCTTTGTTTTTTGTCTTCGTTTCCTTTTTTGGTGCCTCGTCTTGCTTATCATTAACAAGCAGCTCCAACATTACAAATAAATTGATGGCTATACTCTTTAGTTGTCATTATAACTCAAATGCAGAAAATTCTCTGTGCCTTTTGGCCAAGCTTCCCTAAATCCTAATACTACCATTTGCCAGCTCGCGTACCAAATCATGTAGCGCGTTCAATTTTCACCAAGCAAAAAAGAACAAAAGAAGAAGATATTTTTGTAAATTATATCTATTATATATTTTTTAGTACGTGACGTTTGGATGAGTAATGCTAAACATTAAGAAAATATAATGCGAAAAAAATAAAAAATACATATGAATCGTTAGATCATAATCTTAATTAAAGGGCAACCTACTTGTACACTCTATTAATCAAATAGTCTGTGTATTTTTAGATTTCTTTTTTCTTATTATATTTATTTTATGTTCAGTATTACTCTATTTGATTATATATATATATACTATTTGAGTGTCAATTTTTCTCCTCCGAGTGATTTTATTTTATTATTATTATTGATTGTCATCACTCTACAATTGCCTTTTTTCAAACTGCCATGAAAACAAGAAAGCAATAAATATTAAAAAGTAATATAAATCATATATTGACATCTCATCTAACAGTTTAAGTTTTTAGATGAAGTCAAAAATTTCAATCTCACCAACTCTCATTTCTCATTTAATTAATTAAAAACAAGACAATGTGAACTTGTATAAATTTCACTTGATGAGATGTATTAGAAAATAATATAAATTATATTTTAAGGTCTCATCTAACGAGTTTAATGTGAGATGGTCTTTTAATTTGATGATAAATAATTTCTTTATTTACCTAGCTTCCTATTTGAAGACTAATGCTAGACTAACCAAGAAATGAAAGATAAATTTATTAATATGATCTTAGAAAATGTACAAAATTAATTGTATGCGAGATTGTTATGCGTTTTGAGAATATTTTTACAAAGTGTTTTTTCAAGTTTAAAAGATATCAAAGTGGTTTTTTTTTTTTTCTTTTGATAGTTTAGTCGTGAAGATGTTAAAACAATATATAAATAAATAAAAACAAAAGCACTCATCCATTACCCAAACGTACTCGGTTTTATGCTTGATAGTGGTATTCTAGATACTTTTCCAAAGTGTTCAATTGATTTAAGAAATTTTGATATGAATACTTAAAAAACAATAATTAATGTGATGTTTTCAAAAGAAAAACATTTGCAACCATATTACAAAAGCTCAAGTGGTCATAACCTACAATAAACTACAATTAAAAACAAGGAAATTTACATATTAGAACAATTGGTTTGGCTCCTGGACAGATCTGTACATAAACTACGTTTTTAAAAAAATTCATAATAGTTTTTAATAGTTTAAAGATTTTAATTTGCTATCTTTTTTATAGACATTTTCCCCTGTATCTTTTAAACTTTTTCATCATTTTACTACACATCTATTAAAGAATAATTTATTTAGAATAATTTTATAACAATATCATTAGACGATTTTTTTTTATGTTTTACAATTCAATTAATGTGACAATTTTATTTAAATTCAAGATTACATGATAAAATAATATCTTTATTTTTGCCTCCCATGACTATTTGTGACAGAATATATATCTTTATTTAATTTTATTTTTTCAGAAATACTCTCTAGGTTTTTAGAACAGATCAGTGGGGCCCTTGCCTATCTGAAGTCTCAACGTCACGTGGCATAAATCAGGAGGCTATCATAAAGAACGGGGGAGCACTGAAGACCAAAGTGTCTGTTGCATCGTACCCTTCACATGAATATGCCGCATAAAAAACTCAGTCAACCATGAATTATTTCGAAAAGACTTCCCGACTATTAGATGACGCGTTAAGTACTCTATTTGTTGCATGTAAATGAACCTTATATTAGCGTTACGTACAAAACCTCCTGGCTCAAATGTAATCACGCCCCCTTCATCTCTGCGAGCGGTAGATTATTTTCCAAATGCATGCTCTGATTTAATTCCTAGGCTCCTTTTCAATGCATAAGAGAGCAGTTTTGGCAGCGTTTGCAGTGGTGTCCAGTCTAGAGAATACCGGAAATTAATCGGTACCAAAGAGAAACCCAATTTGTTTGATTAATGGATACGAAGATAAAACTGAATTTAATCTCTACCTTCCTAATAGAAATTGATCGAATTTCCTTACTTCGTTTGACATGGGTTTTTTTCTGAATAGAAGGAGGGCAAAGCCCTAGAGTAATACAATTATATCAGAGGAAGAAAATTCCACAAATATAGAGGTTATGATTTTTATCTTTTTCTCAAATTTCTCTCACAAACATATTAAAATTTTAAAAATTGGCCGCTCTCATGCATTCCCTTAATATCATTATTCCTCACAATTACTCTCCAGCATTTCCCCACTAGTCTAAATACGTACCATGTAAGACTGATACCACTTTCTGAACCCTGCATATGCAGGAACTTGTTTGGCGGAGTAACAAGGCACAGCATTTTAAGCATTACGCAGCCACAATTCTGACAGGAAATTCAATTATATAACTTAACTACATGAACGACGAACTTTTTGAAGACCCTATTTTGAAGAGGACAGATCAGGAGAGGAAAAAGGGGTGATCTGTGAAGTTTTGAACAATTAATCAAAAAATGCTCGTACTCCTAGCTAGTTTAATTTTTAGAAAGAGAGCGAAAAGATGGAATGATCTTACAATATTTACAATAAACGGAGAAGCATAAATGTTTGAAAAATCAAAAGGGAACTACCGGAGAGATTTATAAATATAGCATATACTTATCGATGTTACTGCTAATTTAACCGGAACGGTACACAAGAATATTCCGTTGGCAATTTCCAGAATAGAAACAAATCATCCACATTAATTATTTTCCCAGCTGATTAATATTCTGGCTATATATGACCTAATTACTAGTAGTTTTATTATCCAATTCAACATGCACGCATACATAAGAATAGGCATCATTGTATAAATTCAAGGGCACTTGGGTTTGCCCTTGGAGTTCTTCATGTCCCTGTAGCAAGGGCACTCGTGCTTGTTCCCATAGGTCCCAGATGGCACGCAGTTGCACTTTTCACAGCAAATTCCACAGTACTTCAAGCACCGGTCTTTAACTCCTGCTCTGGAGCACCTCGCTGCGCATTTTGAGTCGCAGAATCCTACTTTGTAAAACCATATACTAACAGTTAGTACTATATTAGAAACAATTAAAACGAAAAAGCACCAATACACATCCAACTTATATTATTATACCCGAAGCAGCTATTGTGACCTCAAATAAGGAGGAACTGAAAACAAGACACAAAAGAAAAATAGCTGCAAAATCTGGCTTCATTTTTGTGATATCTGAAAGTATATATGAGAATTTTCTCCGTTTATAGATGAAAAATTAACAGACTTGTATCAAGATTTCCTTGGGGAAGAGTTGATATGAAAGAGGTTAGGTCTAATATGTGGTATTTATAGGCCAATTGATAAGGGTAGGTGAGAGGTCACGGAAGTGCTTCATTCTACAGAAATTTAAAAAAAAAAAAAAAAATCAAAAGCCAATTACAGACTGTCATGGGGTTTTGGTGAAGGAAGCATCCTGGGTTGATTTATGCTTTCCAGTGTCTTTAAAGCGACGGGCATATTACCATGATGACCCATCTAATTATTACATGCAACAATGACTGTAATGGGTTCTTCCTTGTTTTTCTTGCTACCTTAATTTTCTGCTTTTTGCTTAAGTGGCATTCACCCATTTGTCTTTCTTATTGACTAGTGACACTTAGGCCTAGCTTATTACCAATGCATTACGTGTAGCCTACATTCTCTCGCATTACCCTATAATTTGGCTGTTACGTGAAGCCTTCGCATTATTTGCTGCTTCCCCTATATATCTAATCTTTGCTCGTAACAGGAAAGGCGATTAATGGCTGGTGGAGATGGCTTAATGTTTGAGAGACTTTAACACCGTCTTTAAGGAGCAAATGTGAAAGGTTTTCCTCTTAAGCAAAGGATGTGTTCATTACCAACCTACTCTTTGGCAAATGCTATGAGGTTGATAATGCATATTGAATAAGTATGGGCTCCACAAAGCACAACTGTAAAAGCTTTTCATGAAAATCTTTTCATTGTGTCTGAAATCTGAATAGCAAATCTGACGGTGAATAGCTTTTGGAACTCTCGAGAAGGTAGAAAAAAGAGGGATGAAAGAGTAAAAGAAACGAAAACTCCATTTGTTTACCATGATATGGTTTAATAGTGAAAAAATTATTTTGATTGGATCCATGTTAAGATTTAATTTTATTATCCATTAGTAATTAGTTATAATTATCTCTTGATTTTCCAATTTCTGAGACGTGACATGCCATGTGACTTGTACATTGTAACAAGAAAGTTGTGT